TACTTGTACTGGACTTACCAGCCATTGACTTCATGATAACAAGGAGTACTATTTTGGTTAAGGAAAAAAAAACATTCTTTAATCGAAACACAAAGCACTCAAAATCCAATTTCCAAACATATATATAGTAACAACAAACACATAATGAGAAATCTAAGGAGAATTCTCTCTTATTAACATTACAAACAAAAATCAAAACATCATCCACTTGTCAACAGAACAACATGAATTAAACAAATCTGTTGAGAAATAAAGATTTTACTACTTAATTCCTGGGTGCAAATTTAGCCTTAATTTGCTGAACTTGCATGGTACCAATTTGGAATGCTTGAGCCAAGATATCATTAGGAACACCAGGTGCTGGTGTTGCTGCAAACAACGTTGTCGCAATCGACTGTGTACCAGCTAACTGACTATTGAACCCAGCAATAACAGCTGCTGGCATGTGACCATTATTCTTCTGAAAATGAACAAGTCCTCTTGGAAAAACAAACACTTCTCCTTGTACAATATGCTTAGAGACCAATACATTAGCTGTAGTAATAAAACCAACATCTAATTCACCTTGTAAAACGTAAATCATCTCCGTGGCTCGTGGGTGGAGGTGGGGTGGGTTAATGCCACCTGGAGCATAGTCGATTCGAGCCATGGACACACCTAAGGTGTTAAGCCCAGGAATAGCCATAACGTTAGCTCCAGTAACAAGGGAACCAAACATGTTGTTTGTGGCTCCTGGCTTTGAAATAACCATCGAAGAGAAATCAGCCGCGGAGAACATGTTCTTGCATGTAAATCCGTTTAATTTCAAAGCTGTTTCACAATCAGATCACTTGTAAGATAATTAATTACGTATAGATATTATTAGAACCGCGTCTTAGCTTTTAACTTACTTGAGGTGAGATCAGCAACGCAAACATCTTGTAGCATATCTGGATCTCCAGCACAAGCTTTATCTGAGTTAATAGCTAATAATGTCATAATTACCATAATTAAAGGAAACATTTTTCTAAAGACAGCCATTTGGAATTGAACAATGAAGATTGAATGTTGATTTATGGATAATGAAAATTTAGGCAGTTTATTTATAGGGTGAGAATTAGAAGCCGAATTAATAAAATTGATGTTAATTAGTTGACATAAGATAATTTGTGTGTTTGAGCACGAAACATGCCATTTGCTAATTGTTAATAATTTCACTATAATCTATTCAAGTTGTTATCAACTTTTATCCTCATTGTGCTATTGATTTCTTCTTTACTAAAAGGAAATCAAAAATAGGAAATAGTCTTCATTATATATCACAATTTGACATGTTCTAACAAGCTATAACCACAAGTTGACTTTCACAAAATTGAAATGGTACTATATATATAATTAACAAGTGTGAATAAGTTTATGCGGGAGCTCATAGGAATAATTAAAGGTCTAGTCGGTAACCTAGAAATGAAAACTTCAAAAGAAAAACAAAGAATTATGTTGGTTAATTATTACTTAGCATATAATATATGAAATGGTCCATTAAGAATGAAGATATAAAATATGCTTCTTAATTATCCTAAAAATTAAACGGTATGACATAACTCTTTCGACATCCAGTAAATAGTGCGTAATTTTTGACCTGATTTTGAAAAATTATTACTAGCATAGCTATAGGTATATTTTATTTAATTAGAGGTCCCTTAAATTTTCCTTTAACTTGAACTTTGATTGGAATGAGAAAATTAGAGGTACAAATTATATGTAGCAGAAATTTTTTCGAGTCGAATATCTTTCAAAACAGTTTATTTGTTTTTAATAACGTTGAGATAAGATTTGTATATACATTATTCTTCTCAGCACTTAATAAATTGTTTACAGTATATAGTGTTTATATATAATTAGTTAATGCCTAATTTTTCGAAACAACTTGCACTTACTATACAGATAACACTGGATCGTTAATCGTTATACAAAGATAACAGTAGGGCCTCGAAATGGACTACGTCCAAGTCTAAATCATAATAGTACAATTAAGATAATAATTCAACATACTTACTTAATAACAAAATTTACTCAAAGAATTACAGTTGTTTGGAACTGAGGACATATCAAGCTAATTAAGTGAACATTTAATCTCATAAATATCAATCATATGTTATACAAATATTATCAATTCTTAGATCCGTGTTTGTTGCGGGAAAACAACTTTATTTATTTATTTGACTCGGTGTTCTCTCCTAGTTAATTATGAGTATGACTTTGTGAAATTAGGTCTTAGGCCAGCTCACACCCAAAAGCTAGTTCAAAGAAGGAGGATTGTCCAAGCCTTATAACGAGTCCACCCATCTCATTAACCACCGATGTTGTGAAATGTGATTATGAGTATGACTTTGTGAAATTAGATTTTAGGCAGCGATTATCATTTTTTTTTTAGAAAATCGCTCCGGACTCTACTATATATATAATATATAGATATATATATATATATATATATATAAAATATATATATATATTAAAAAAAAAAATTAATGAGAGTGAATAGGGGAGTCCAGATGCCCATAGAAATAATTAAATTTTTAGTTGGTAGCTACAGAAAAGATACGAAAGAAAACATAAGAAGAAAAAATTTATATGTTTGTTATTACTGAGCATATAATATAGAATGAGTTAAAACAAATATGTTTGTTTATTTGAGAAATGAGGGTAATAGAAATGGAAAGAAGCCAAATTTATTAGAAATCATTGGAATACGAAATCAATTCCAGCATTATTATTTCATTGAATACAAAATTATTAGTTGAATAAAAGCTAACTTTATAAAAAATACAGAAAAGGATAAAAAATATTTTTAAACTATTCGAAATATCTGAAATTTATCCATAAATTATATTTCGGTTCAAAACTATCCTTTCCGTCAAACTATTGGGTCAAAAGTACCCTTTTTATTAACGGAAGTTGTTAAATGTCATGTGAATGTCACATTGCATACCAAAAAAGGTTCCACTGCCACATAGACTAAATCCCTAAATCCTAATTACTCCCCCCCCCCCCAATTTCATTATTTTCCCGAAACGATTCACTCGTTCTCCTTTATTTCACGGCTAAGCTTTCACAGTTTTTTCCATAGCTGGGTTTCAAAGTTGATATTCATGGTTGTAGGTTAGTAAATCTTTTTTCTTTTTTTATTATTTATTATGTATATGATTTCAAAGTATGATAGTTAGGATTTCACAACTTTTCCCATATTTCGCAAGTAGGATTTCGTAACTTTCTTCGAGGTTGAGTTTCAAAGTGGATATTCATGGTTGTTGGTTAGTAAATATTTTTTCTTATTTTATTATGTTTACCATTTCGACGTATGATAGTTAGGATTTCACAATTTTCCCCTTATTTCGCGGCTAAGGTTTCATAACTTTCTTCCGAGCTGAGCTTCAAAGTGGATTTCGTGATTGTAAACACAATAAAATAAGAAAAAAGTGTTACTAATCTACAACCACGAATATCACTTACAAACCTAGCGATGGAGAAAATTGTGAAACCCTAGCCGCAAAACGAGGGAGAAGGGATGAAATTGTTTATAAAAAATACAAAAATGAGGGGAAACAAGTAAGATTTAGGAATTTAGTCAATGTAGCATTCATGTGGCATTTAACAACTTCGCTAATAAGAAAGTCACTTTTGACCCAATAGTTTGACGAAAAAGATAGTTTTGAGCTGAAATATAGTTTAGGTGTATAAATGAGCTATTTCGGATAGTTTTAGGATATTTTTTACCCTTTTCCTTTTTGCCTATGTGGCAGTGAAACTCTATTAGCGTTCCATGTAGCGTTCATATAGCATTTGCAATTTTAACCCTATAGTTAGACGGGAAGAGTAATTTTGAGCCAAAATATAAATTAAGAGTAAATTTCAGCTATTTTGAATAGTTTAAGCGGATATTTTTGAGTCTTTACAGGAATAATGTTGACCTAAAGGATTAAAAAATCACTAATTTTATAATGAGTAATTTGGTAATTCACTATTTAGTATTGACATTTTGAGGTTTTCACTTTTAGAGTAGTTATTATTAGTAGTATATAGAAGGATAGATATAGATAGATCATAGATATATTATAAATAGAGATGTTAAAATATGCCTAATTTATCAAGAATTAAGTGATTAGCGGTAAACAACTTAATTGCACTTCCTATAGATCATAGATGGATCATTGTGCAAAGATGATTGGAAGACATTTCAAAGGAACGAATAAAGTCAAATCTGAAGGGAACGACAAAAGATTAGGATTCAAAATGGTAGTCCGGAAAAGATTAGATGTACACAAACACATTATTCTTATCTTTGTGGAAGTAGAGAGTCTCTTTAATATAAATCTTTGTTCTAAAAGGTGTAATCAAAATAGAACTGAAAGAAAAATAACGATAATAAATAAAAGTTAATGAAGCACCTAAAGAAGTAAAATTTAATTGAAGAAAGATACTACATGAATACAAACTAATATTACCAAATAAGGAGAAGATGAGAAAAGGGAACTACCCCGACCTCTTCCACATTAAAGTATTATAATACTCGATTACCTACTACTATCTTTTTACTCTAAAATCCCCCACCTCTATATATTTTTATTCAGGATCATGTCCTCAATAAACTAAAAATGTGTCATATCTTATTTAATCATCTCACGTCATTTCTATGACTTACATCTACCTCTCCTAAAATCTACTATAGGTAGCTGTTGATAGGCTCTATAGACACCTATATTTTTTTAATGTTACTTACAACACTTAAATTATGTATGAGCAATAACATTATCAATTTGTGCTCATTAAGTGTGTTTATTGTGTAGACATGTTTCCGAGCTAATGAACATTTGTGAAGCTAAAACGGATGTTTCGAAACAAAGGTCTGAACAAAAGTCTAAGAAATCGTTTGGACTTGACGCTTCACGGCCCACGATGCGTTTAAACTTGGAAGCCCTGGCAGATACAAAATTACGAGTTCTTTCCTCGAGAGAACGAAACCATTGCAACAACTGTGCCAATTTCTAGATTAAGAGCGGTTTTATGCATTAAATGGTGTACATGTAACCTACAGAAATGCCAAATTCACATAGGATGAGAACCCAGGATAATCCAGATTTATACACTCATTGATTGAAAAAGAGGGCAGGGTGGAGAGATACAGAAGAAAAGAAAATAAACGAGACACTTGAAACAAAGCCTGACTAATCGGTGTATTTTCTTCCAGAAGACCAAACAAATTTGAGGCGCCAGCTACCAAAGACTCCACAAGCAGCAATGTGACTGGGCACTCTGACTGTTCTTTCAAACAGTGAAAAAAAAACCCACAATGCATTAGTGTATCCTTTTGATGAACAAAAACTAAAGAGATGAAGGTTAAGCCAACATCAAGTTAAAGCAGGTTAATAATTAGTGAAACGCACATCAAGCTCTGATAGATAGTCCAATTCGTCTTCTTTTCTTCACTTGTAAATAGGGAAAAGAAAAACAGCCTTAAAATATTTTCCATGATTTCCAACTACGAATCAGTGTTACTTTTTTCAAACACAAACTCCAATTTCCTGGTTTAGCTAGATCTTGGAAACTACACATCCTAGTGGTACATTGGAAGGACACCAAATTACTATGCAGAAACCAAAAAGATTTCTAAAACTACTTCTGAAGTCGAGAAGAAGTCCAAAGCAAACACATTAGCCACTTTTATTCAGTTGACATCTTATACTCCAATTAGTCTAGATGAGTTTACAATGGTACATGGGAAAAATTATAAAGTGGCATCAGAATCTGTATTGCAGACAAAGTCAACATAGATAATGATCAAGGAATCTAACCTGACCAAGGTACGAAACCATCACTTCACTGCAAGCTTTAACTTGATGCTAACTACTTTTTCTTCTTACTACCACCAGCCTTTGATTTCTTGTTAGCAGCTCCTTTCTCAGTGGTGTGAGATGTTTCCTGTGACCAGATAAGGCATCATATTTTAACGAGATCCAATCTTTGGCCAAAGATGCATATCATTTAGGAGCAAAATTCCTCTAGATTTTCTTTCTTCACAAAAAACCGACATCACAAATAGAAAAATAGTACAAAGAATACTTAGCTTAAAATATAGTAATTGTTCTTTCGAAACCAAAAAGTAAATGTTGACTAAAGGCATAATACATAAATATGTCCTTTAACTTGATTTCAAGTAACATTTATGTCCTCCAACTTTGGATGTGCACAAGCAAGCACTTCAACTTACATAAAGTTGTGCTTATAAAGTTGAACAAGCAGAAAAACACGTCCTACATGGCAATTCCATAAGACACACTCAGATAGAGTTTTATTATGCCATGTAAAAGTATGCATGTGTTTCTACAAGTTCAACTTTAGACAAAACTTAATTGTCTACTTGTACACACTCAAAGTTGGAGAACATAGATATGAGTTGAGGCCAAGTTAAAGGGCACAATTAGGTATTAGGCCTTGATAAACAACTTCCAGCACAGACGGAAGAAATTTTGAAGTATCAGTTCTCAACACCATACCCTACTCCCCAACTCAACTCATGTAGTCGTTACTTTTAAAATTAATGTTTGTGTTCAAAAATTAGTTAATGGGATAAAATTTTTAGGAGGATTTTATTAGCTGCACCACCTGTATTTTCATGAATTAACAATTATTCCAAACCTTAATCAATCAATTTCTTTTCCACAGGTTCAGAATTCACTATTCAGCACCACAGGTTCAGAATTCAGTATTCAGCACAACAATGTTAGCAATTAGAGCATTTTGTATTATGAAAGGCAAGAGTTCATGAGGGGTTTACAGCATCATATGCCGAAGCAGAAGTGTCTGAATAATGGCATGGAGTAATTTGACCCCAATTCTAAAGATGGGAAGATTAGCCTTCCAAGGACACCAGGTCTGGATCGTAAAGAGAGTGTCTTAAACTTGGTAACAGGACTCGGAGATACAAGAACACATTTAGTCCCCTGTGAGCCAACGTACCAAAAGTTATGGGGGCAACCAGTCATAATTTTGGAACATATATTAACAAATTCTACATTAAGCATGGGCATGCCTTTTGGATTCCTTGTGAGCTAACGTACAAAAAGTAATGGTGGCAACCAGTTAGAATTTGAAACAAACATTGACAAATTCAATATCTAGAATGGGCATACTTTTCAGGACAAGAGTATGAGCCCATTTGGGTTGACTTTAAAAAAAGTAGTGTTTTAAAAGTAGTTTTTAAAAAGTCGAACTGAAGTAACTTTTAGATTAAAAAATGAAAAGTAGGGGAGCACCTACTTTTGACTTTTTTTTAAAGTCATTTTAAACTTATTTTTGAGTTATATTAACTTTGCCAAACACTCCCAAAGGCTAAATAACTTAAAAGTAGGTTTGACCAACTTTTAAGACAATCCACATTTGTGTTCTAAAAGAAAGAAATCTTTGGATTTTAGAAAAGCATTACACATGAAAGATGAACTAAATTTATATTCAATCCCAAGAGATATAGCTGACTTCAAGAACAATTAACATAAGATATGATTGAATTGAAAGAAGAAACAACATAGCCAAGTGTTGCTCTTACTTCTAACCACATAATTTGCTGTTAATCAAGTGAACTGACTTACTCATATATAACATATAAATGATAACTTCATCCAATTCTTCTATCACCAAAAAGAGTAAGCAACGCAATGATGTTGGCAATCTTAAATAAAGATTTTTCAGTTGAATTGTTTTTTTTTTTGGGGGGGGGGGGGCATAGTTCATGAATGGTAGTACCTTTCTTTTAACTGGAGCAGACGTGCTAACTGGTTTAAAGAATGATTCTAACCTGTTCAAAAATGACACAACACAAATCACAATGCAAAAGATCATGGTTAGAAAATACTGCAAGAATTATAAAATTAAAGGCTTTTACAAGGTGAAATAATATTCAATGGCCAATCAACCACTTTTAAGAGGTTAAGGGAATGACATTTTTTTCCGACACTATCAACCATCAACAGATTTATTCTAAGTAATTCATACCGCCCCTGAGAAGATTTGTTCTTGGCTGTCTTGATCTTTTCTATTGCCTGAACAAAGCAAGATGCAAAGTAGTTAATTCTATCCTTCAAAAAATCTAGAAGAAATCTCTGTCAAATAGTGGCAAAAGGAATGATACCTTTGTAACTCTATCAATGTTGAATCCATTTTCCTTTACCAGAAAGTTAACCAACCCCTAATAAGAATAGAATATAAAAATGAAGATTCTGTTAAAATTCATTAACAACCAACCAAAAAATCAAAAGTTTCTCAGGTAAGACAATCACTTCTTCATCAGGAGCAGCCCATTTTAGTTCAGTTTGCTCATCATCTGTAACAACTAATGGTTCCTTGAAGAGCCGCCTAGCCTCTTCATAAGGCCAATCATCAGGTATTTGATATCTACAATAGGATCAGCAATGAAAATACTCCGAGCAACATATGATTAATTAAACTGCCCACATAATTTACCAAAAACATTGCGGTCAAGTCCACCCACTCTCCAACCACAACCAAAAGGAAAGGTGAGATGGAGACAGAAGAGATAGAGAGGAGGGAGTGTTCTCAAGTAAGTCAATAAGTAGGCATATTTTTCTCTTGATTCTTTCTTTGGAAAGTAACTTTTTCTTTTAATAACAAAAGAAATCCTCGAGGGCTAGAACTGTCTGGTTCTAAACTCAGTAGATAAGGCCAGTCCCACTACCCTTTTTCCACTTACAACTAGGCTTATGTTTGCGGCAAACCCATGGCGTACACCTAACCTACACATCACGAGCTGCACTTCTATTACTAGATCAAAGCTCTAGATGCTTCTGAAAATTTAATTTCACAACAGACCGTACATTTTGAGATAAACTATACTTAAATGGCAACAGGGTCTAGGCTGTGTACAATAGATCCAACGTGATCCAGCTCTTCTAGGACTCCACAAGTAGTGGAAGCTTAACCAGACTGCCGTTTCTTTAATGATTTATCCAACAACATATGGACCCTCATGAACTTAAAATTTCAAAATCATTCCCAAGAAAGTATGCCAAAATGTTTTAGAACATTGTTTATTGTCTGAAGGAAGTGTACAGTCCATCAAATAGTGCTGACCCATAAAGTCTCCAGGAGTAATTGCAGTAAAAGTGGCCCTTTACAAATACGACAAGCTCCTTTAGAATGAATTTCTAAATTTTCAACATCTCCTCGCTCTTTCTGCTTTGAGAATCAAGGGAAATCAACTAGCTTCTGGGAGTATTCAGGATAATTGATGACTCTTGGCAAAGAAGAGCTACTTAACACCCAATGAATGCATGCATACATACTCAACGAACTCAGTTCCATAAAACATCAAATGAAGTACCTCTCTTTGTTAATATTCTCTAATATGCTCTCCATTGACCCATGTTGGCGTACAAGCTTCAAAGCCGTCTGGGGCCCTATGCCTATTGCATAGATTGATGATTAGATACCAAGAAATATTGCTCCAATCACTCAAACCATATCAGTTGCAACATAAGTAAAGCATGTAGCATAAGCACATGAAATTTAAACAGCTCCTAGATGCCAATGTAAGATTGATTATAAGAAGTCAGGACCAAGGTAAAACGTGTGCAACCCACGAAAATGACACTAACTGTAGCATTACTGATTACGGATAGTGCAGAAAAAACACGAGGTAGCATATGCATAGTCAAATGATTTTTAAACAGTGATCTAACTGAAAAGTATGGTACCTCGGATGCTATCACAGTAATCACATCCACAAAGAATGCACAAGTCTATGAACTGATCCATACTAAGTTCAAGTCCCTCCAATACCTTCAATAAGACATAAATCAAGAGATAATATACTTGACATCAACTAAAAAAAGTGCTCAGGCCCATTTTACCTTGGAGATGTCAAATTCCATCACTGGTATCTTTTTGGAGCTAGGATCCATTAAATGGCGAAGAAACTTTGGAGCTCCAAAAGTTAAGGAATCCATATCTTCTGAGGCCACAGCATAAACCTGACAAGTAGAGGAACTCTTTCAATACTTATCTGTAATGATGCCCAATGAGTGACTTGGAACTGGAAAATCGAACACAATTACACATCATGATTCGTCAGAGAAAACATTTCATTGTCAAGCCCACCCCAACCTCCGAAGTTTTTATTATACCATATGTGCAAACAACTATACATACCATGAAGAAACTCAATTCTGCAAATGTAGGCCTTAAATATATCCTTTACAATCAAATAGATTAGACATCCAACCTAAGTTGCTCAGACTGGGGTGCATGTGTCTGATATGGGTGCGGATTTAGAGGTCGGGTCTTTCATGATCTAATTTTTAAGATTCCAGGATATGGATGTATTTTTGGTTATGGGTGAGGGGATTCGCCTAAAATAGAGTTATAAAACCACATTTATGAGATATTATGTGGAGAACTTGAGGAGATCCTGGTAGGAGATCAAAGAAAAAGGAGTGACATAAAAATCCCTATATAAAAGGTATTCCATTTTCTTCAATTCACCTTAACTTTTGTATTGATTACAGAAATCATTAAAACTGTCCAGACTTCCCAATCGATTTTGGTCAAAGTACCCAAAATCGGTTGACCACATCGTACACAGATCACACATAGTTCTAAGCTATTAATTAATTGACAGGGTATACATGCCTTTTCTGCCTTGCAAAGTGCAGCACACTGAGCCTCTGCTTCAGAAGGAGCCTAAGGAAACCATCAAGGAAAAAACTCAGACTTTCTTGAATCAGGGGCAAAAATTGTACTTTGAAGAGATGCCATTGTATGTGCATTACGTGAAATAAGGTACACTGAATGCCACTAACCATCTAAAAGACACCCTACTACCAGAATGACTATACTTCCAACTCACCTCAACAGCAGGTACCCCCATTAGTCTGAGAAGTTTTTTGCAGTCATCATTGTGTTGTGATGTAACCTGAAAATTGGGTATGTGTCATTCATATATATCCACAGGTTTTGGCTATTTACAATGTAAAAGAAGGGGTAGAACCTAAACATTTCAAGAGGTTTACAAGCCAAAGCATGTTATACAACGAAATGCCATATTTCACAAGAAGTCATTTTCTTCAACGTCTCAAACACTTCATTGGTATTAGTAGCTACAATTGATGCACACCCCTGCCTATTGTACAAGAGTATTAAAGAGTTATTCTAAAACTTCTTTCTACTCAAAACCTGCAAATCTGTGTTGAACAAGGTTGTAAATCACAATTAATAGCAGAAAATTGATCGTACAATTTTAGGAGTTTGAGCATAGACACAACCTGCTTCTTAAACTTCTATCTGTACAAAATAATATTGAAGAGTGACGCTGAACAGATTATGGGCAAAACAGAGGCACTTCCTTTTCTTGACATTATTAGTTCTCTCTGCATCTCAAACTGTTGGATTTTTCCAGTAAGGATTTACAGATCTTGTATTTGTAGATTATTGAGAATTTGAGAATTGATACAAGATACAAGTTGGTTAGAGTTGGTTAAAGTTGGTTCAAGATATTTTCACATTTCACATTTATAGTTAGCATGCAGTGAGTTAGTTAGACATTTGGATACTTAAGTTAACCAGTTAGGTAAGGTAGTTATCAGATAGGATTGCTATATAATCATCTGTACAGCTTGTTGACATTTAGATTAGGGATTGTAAGCACTTCTTCTCTCAATACAAATTCAATATTATCTCCACAATGTCTTCAGTTTCTCTTTGTTCTAGAAGCTTCCAACTCGAATTGTGAAACTGGTTGTAAATTTAACTATAACAGAGCAATAGGGGTTTTTAACCATCTACTACGCAATGAGATTAACAGAGCAGCAAACAAACACCATTTCTTCTCTTATATAACTAATATACCTAGAATAACAATTATACAAACCCACCTTTACTGTTCTCTTGCTGAATTTCTCAATATCCTCCTTGTTGCCACTCTGCAATCAAAATGCAACTATATCACTTATGTGAAGAACACATATATGAGGAAAAATAAGAGTTGGAACAAAAACATAGAACTTGTCATACACTTCTCTCAACCCTTTTCTAGTGGTGGAGGGTACAGGAAATTAAATTCAGTAAATAATAAGCCCAAAAGAGATACTGAATCATAGAGATATATAACTATCAAACCTCTGTAGCCTTAGCCAAGTCATCTGTGGCATCTTCCCTTCTAGAGTAACTGCAAAGACGAGACAGTGTGAAAACATGAACAAACAGGCAGCACTTCATGGATATAATACAAAGAACATATAAGGGAGCTCATATGTACCGTTTTGCAAGTTCTTGTTTCTTCAAATCAGGGGGCTTGCCATCAAAAACATAACTGTAAATAAAGACATGGAAATTACTGAATAGGAACAAGGCAAGAAAGGGACAAAAGGAACAGCAACCACAAAAGTTTAAAGCAATAAATTACACTGGCTTGATTCCAGCTTCCAAAAGCCTAATCGTCCGCGAAAACATCCCGACCAAATGACTAAAAACACACATAGCCATTATAATCAATAAAAACTACAGTTTTTTAATGCAAAATTCAAAGTAGTACCAAGTAAAGCAAACCTAGCATAAGCAATAATCTAAATGAACCATAACAGCACGTACACAAGTATGTTTTGCTTTACTCTTTAAAGCAACAAATAGCCCACAACATGTTGCTCCTTTTCGTATTATATAGAGTACAATAGTACTACTAGTCGTGGAGTTCCAAAAAAACATAATATACCTAGTAGTTTCCCCAGCTTCGTTAGTGAGCATTTCCGTACCGCTTCGTCCTACTACAATCTACACCACAACAATTCACCATTGAATTATCCTTACAACTCCACAGGTATTAAGATATAACGTATTCTAAACATGAATGCATCTAAGGTAAATGTACAAACCAGGAACTGATAAATGCTCATACTAGCGTCGATGGCTATTTTACGGCCGAAATAGCTCTCGAACTTCTGCTCCTTCATTCCACTTGGAGCATTGTCAGCCAACAGCTTCATTAAACCCTAGAATTCACAAAGAAACAGTTCAGTATATGAAAATGAAAGAGTAAAATTGATAGATTAAACAGTTGATTTCTGCGTCGACGTACCTTGATTCCCATTTTTTGGATAGAACGAACTCAGAAAGCTTCAGCCAATTTCTTGAAGGTTGGGTACTAGGGTTTAAGTTTTCCCGCCTCTTTGGTATTATACGCTTGGTTTGCTCCAATGTTTCGAGTTTAATTCTCACATTTTCCACTTGGTCAAATGACTCGACACGTAAGAGCTGTGGAGCCCATTTCTAGTTATGCCCACAAACCGGTTCGTGAATAGCACGCGTCCCACTTAATTAAAACACATTTTGAGTGGAAAGTAAGGATAGCGAATTGGTCGAGTTTAATATCAATTTGTCCAAAGTGAATTAAGTGAAAATAAACAAAATATTTGATTTAATACATATTTATACGAATAAAAATGGGTAAACGTAAAGTCAAAAGATAATATTCATATTTTTATTACTTCTTACTATGTAAATTAGTAGAGTTAATATCTCATATGGTCACTAAACTATACACTTTTCTCTTAGAAAGCACTCAACTTTCAATTTTCACTCAAAAGTCACCAATTATGTATTTCTTTCTCAGAAAGTCACTCAACTTTGAATTTTAATTCAAAAGTCACTCAACTATTCACTCTTTCCTCAAAAAGTCACTCAATTTATTAAATTACTTTTTTAATTAAAATTTATTGATATTAATTATTTATATAACAAACCAAAATTTTTAAAAATAAAAATACCATTTAAAACATTTAGTGATCCACCCACCTAACCCGACCCATTAAAAAATATGATAGAACCCATTTTATTTTGTC